AGTTTTAATATATTTACAGTAGGACATTTACAAAATATCTTCATGGAACATGATCTTTACTTAATATCCAATTGATTTTTGACATAAAAGTAAAATCAATAATTTTGACCCATACAATGTATTTTTGGCTATTGCTACAAATATACCCCAGTGACTTAAGACTGGTTTTGTGATCCAGGGTCACATATTATATCTCACAATTTTGACCTTTTCTCTGGATTCTGAGATTACATCTCACAATTCTGTCTTTTAAAGTCTACGTTCAAATAACATTAGATACTATATCTATTTACTTGTTATTTGCACCTCAGTATGCAAATATAAACTTTTTTGTGTCTATTTTTTATATACAAGACTTTTGTATGTGTGTGTGTGTGTGTGTGTGTGTGTGTGTGTGTGTGTGCGTGTGTGTTTGCTTATGCAGTTAATTTTGAACATATATGTGTGTCAGATTGACCACTACGGAAATTATTACATTTCATTTTTACAGCAATCTTTAGTTTTTATTCACAGTGTCGATTTTTGCCAAATTGCATGGAAACCAATATTCAAACCAACATTCAAAACATAATCTTTTGTGTTCAGCAAAAGAAAGAAAGTCATACAGGTTTGGAACAGAAACCTGAGCTTAACCAGACCCGGCAGAAAGACCATGCTGGTTGATCTACCAGCTCGGCCAACACCAAACTAGTACAAATTAGCATGATCATTTCAAATAACGTGAACAACATTGGAGACCAGACAACCCTGGAAGATGAAAAAAAGCACTGAAACAAAGAAGAAGTCAGGTTTGGAATGACACGGGTGAGTAAATGATGCATTATTACTTTGTAAATCAAGGACCAAGGTTGTGCAAAATTTAGATTGAAAGAATTGGCTGCTTTTCAAATCTTGAGTGTGTTTAATTTCAGTTGGCCCCAAAGGAAGTTGAATGGGAATTTGAATTGGAGTGACGGGAAGTTTTATCTATTGTCTATCTCAATTCAAAGGAATTCAGTGGAAATTTGAGAAATAAAGTGTTCTTCAACATAAAATCCACATGAATGTAGATTTTGTTCATAAAATGAGTTAAATATACGCGAGCATAAATAAAAATCTGTAAGGTCTATAAAACCTTTGAAATTCAAAACTTTTAACTTTCAAACAGGGATTGTCAAGCCATCATTCAAAATTTATCTTGACAAACCTTTTCTTATTTAAAAATTACACTAGTTGAATTAAATTAAATGAATCAAATTGAATGTCATTAAATTCAAATTCAAATTGCTATTCTGCATTCTGTTTCCTGCCTCAATTCAAATTCAAGAACTGATTTGTAATTAAAAAAGCCTCTGCCTCTGAAAGCAAGATAGCATGACCGCATTTATTGTGTTTCACCTGCATGCTCTGAGGTGCAAGTAATTTATCATATTTGAAACAAGACCCACCTGGGGCTTCTTCTACTGCAGCAAATTACCTTTTTCTTAGTGATATTTGGCACCAGTTTATCAGGAAGTGACGATTTTGTTCTCTTCGTCTCGCTGGATAGAAACGGTACTTTATTCACAAATGTTTTATGCAATATTCCAATTTTGCGCATAAGCTAAATTTGCGACTTTAGATAGAAACAAATAGCTAATGGTGCTGGGAACTCTTACTGAAGTGAATGTCTTCCTGTTGTTTTGTCACTTTAGATTACAAATACCACACAACCAGCCCAGAGAATGAAGGTAGATAAGAAAGATAAGAGATCTGAACCCTGCTATCAGATGCAATAATGATGTTCTCTGTTATCATGTGTCAACATCTGTCTTCATTACCAATTCACCTTTCAGATCAAGTATTAATATTCTGCTCTTTGGTCAAAGTCCCTCCTGCCAGAGTTTCACAGCAGGATGTGATAAACACAAAGTTTAATGCCCTAAATTATTTGTACTAGTCGTGTTTATAGCACAGCTCTCAGGGAAAGCATTTTGGAGGACTATTACAATAAAACTTTAGTGCTTTTTCCACATTTGCTGCACTGACTTTTTGTCCACCCACACAAGTGCCAAACAGCTCTGAGGTGATTATCCATCATTATGACATCCCTGAATATACATATACTTCACAAATTATGGATCCGCTGATACCGATACACGCATCATTATTGGGTCTCATACTGCGCTCTTGTACTCATCTGTCTGTTGCATAAACATTGCATCACAAATAAAGACAGAAGAACAAGACGTTCTAATATTTGTAAAACAAACTGGAACATAGTGAAAAGGAAGATGCAATATTACGTATTTCAACTTTCCAACATGAAACATTTGTTGCTGTTAGATATGCAATGCAAAACATTAGATGGTTTAATGCTTAATGCATTGGTTGATGCAATGAGCTGTGATGCACCTCTTTCTATTTAAACCTTTTTTTTTTTTTTTGACTGGGTAGGAATAAGGGCAGGACAGGAAATGGTTGATGGAGATTTGAATCTGGCATGGGACCATTTCCTGTCATCTCTCTATCATGTGTCTCTCCAAAAAAATAAAAATAAAAAAGTGGCAAAATGCAAATAAATAAACACAAAAACAAATTATGACATGCAACCAAAAATGAAGTTAAAATAGTAAAGACCCTAAGGGGTCTAAATTATCCAACCAATTATTGAAAACTCAAACCTGACCGAATAAATGAACTTGATGGACTTAAATGGAAAACGGTCCGTCTTCTCAAATAATCACTTTACTGCATCAAAGATTAGGAACAATTTTAATACACATTAATCAGTATGTGTATATATAGCCTAATAGAATTTATATAAATAATTCAATATGTATATATAAAGTAATATACATATGAATGTATATAGTACTCCAAATGTTATATATATATATATATATATATATATATATATATAGTACTCTCAATTAAAATGAGCAAAATGCACATCTGTATTTCTTTTGTGTTTCATGTAAACACACATCTATGCAAACATATCAATGGTGTTTACATGAGTCTCATCACCAAAACTTCTGCTGGGTCTAAGACAATATAAAAAAATATACATATATATGTATATAGTGCTCCAAATGTTATATATATATATATATATATATATATATATATATAGTACTCTCAATTAAAATGAGCAAAATGCACATCTGTATTTCTTTTGTGTTTC